ATGTCATTAAATACAAATGACTTACTATTTTGTGTCAAGATTTATTATGACAGGTTTACCATGTATATGATGGTGACGTGCTGCCAAGGTCTCACGACTATAACATTTTGAAAATAGTAGTAGAATAGGATTCAAACAAGATTTTTTGAAAAAATAACATTTCGTGAATTGTCGATCATAATTCATCAATATTACATTGAACCTCCTCCATAAGTGCACCCTCTATAAATGCACACCCTCCATAAATGCACGCTATGTCCCATTCCCAACCTCGGGACTTAAGAGATAAATGCATCTCCATAAATACACCGCACGGTCTTCACCCATTCATCATCTCTAAATGCTAAATGCACGTCCATGACTTTCACGTGATTTATTTGCTAAATAAATTCATGTTACATTAATTAATTATTCAAACATTATATATATATTTATCATCTTTGTTACAGATGCACACCTCTTTTTTAATATTATTAATAATGGAGACTAAAGGATTAAGTAAGCTACTCTTACTTATAAAGAATTAAATGAATGTTTGTTGATTCTTTCTTTTTAATTGACAAAGAGTTATATAATCATGATAAAATGCAAATGGAGAAATTTGTAGGAAAACAAGGATTAAACAAAGGATAAAGATTAAGAATTTTTTTAATATTTTATGTATAGTAACAGTAATGGAAAATAAAATAAAGAAATAATTAAATTATTTGTTCTTTACAAAAGATTAAGTATTCTTTCTTTTTTAATTGATGAAAAAAAGAGTCATTAAAAAAAGAACACAGATGGATCTTTTATAGAGTCATAATATAAATAAAAAATAAACTTCATTATACAACAATAATTTTATTATATCATGTGCAACCAATAAAATTATTCCCTCCAATAAATTCATTCCTCCGTAAATGCACACTCTCGTCCATTCCCAAGGGGGGTACACTTATGGAGGGTTCACTGTATACACTATCAATCTTTACATTCTTCTGACATTGTTCCGTAACATTCACAATTAATTCAACTTTATTTACTCTAATCATTTTTACAAGTTTATTCATAATATCAATTTATATGATCGTGTATTTGCCGAACTACTAGACACGGATCCATAGTATGGCACGCCATGCTGGACAAAGGTGTACCACATTTTGTTGTAATTAATTACAACATTTTTGTTGCAAAAAGTTATAACGTTTTGCTGTAAAAAGTTGCAACGTTTTGTTGTAAAAAAAATTGCAACGTTTTGTTGCATTTTTGATGGGTGTCTAAATTGTTTTCAGGCTTGACAATCATGACTAAACCAATATTTAGACTTTAGACACTTTGACAACCCTGTGAAAAATGACACTCCAGAATATATCCATTATATCTCCGTGATTATGTTTATCACACCGTAAATATCCGGTTTATTTCATAAAAGCAGCAATTTTTTCCATGATGTCATTGATATTAATATAGGGACATTTTTAAATATGGAATTTAAAACGAAATGTGAGAATAAGATTTTATAGTTCTGGAATATTATTAATTGATAAATTCGCAAATAAAAAATGGACATTTTTTTTTCTTACAAAACATTTTATTTGTTAACTATAACTTGATTGAAACATACTAATACATTAATACGGAAAACACACGAAAAATACATTATTAATATTAATATTGATATAATTAATTAACTACTACAGTGCGTAACATAATAAACCATCACATAAAAATGGACTAATTTTAAAACCTAAAAAGAAAATATTGAATTGCTATCTCAAAAAATAAAGACACAATCTATCGTCAAGATAATAAAAAAAATACTGCTTTTAAAAATCATGTGATGTACTAAATACTAATACTAATAATACTAATACTAAAATAGTAATAATAATAATACTCTTTGAGTATTAATATTCGAGTATGAATATTCGATGCGTCGTAAATTAGTAATTGCTTGTAGATAATTTCTGAATTTGTAGAAAATTTTATTTATATTTTATCATTGATTATTTCGTGCTTCCAATCAATTCATTTTATTTGTTATTATGATTTATTACATTTCTTATAACAATTAGCATAGAAGTTTGTTGTTACACGAAATGTTGTACAGAACTCATTGTTTCTGAAACTTCGCCAGTATATAGTTGTTACCTCTCTAAATTGGAGATCAAGTTCAGATCCAATTCAAATCCAGTTTATCACTTACTTTTTATTGCCAAAATGTTTTCCATGTATTGTAAAGCTACGTTGCACAAAATAAAAAATTAATGTAACATTTCAAATTTCCACTATGCTATAATAATTAGGATTTATTCGGAGAATATTCTTTGTTAAAAGGTAATTCCTAGATAAGGATGAACTTGCTTTTAGTATTATTAATTAATTTTCTTCTCTTACCCTTAAAAAAATATATAAATATAAGACATGTATGGTTACTACTGTTCCTATTGCCATGAAAACAAAGCTTACCTTTGTCCAGATAGGGTAACTGGCGAAGCTCGTTGCTATCAACGCAAACGCGAACACAACCCAAGAAATGGAAGAGGATGTAATAGTTTTTATTGCCAGTTAGCTGGTCATACGGGCATTGATTGTCCGTTGCGTATAGAAGAAGAAGCTCAGAGATTGATTGCTCGTGAAAGGGAATATGATGCTTTATTAAAAAATATTCAAAATTCAACTATCCCTGCTTCTTATGATGACAAAATAGCTAAATTTAATTATACTGGTTTGCGTGGTGGACGTAGTCAAGATGCTTTGCATAAAGTTAACGAAGAAACTCAGAAATTGATTCCTCGTGAAAGGGAATATGATGCTTTATTAAAAAAGATTCAAATTTCAACTATCCCTGCTTCTTTTGATGACCAAATAGCTAAATTTAATTATACTGGTTTGCGTGGTGGACGTAGTCAAAATTCTTTGCATCAAGCTCAGAGTAGTCGTAAAGTTCAATTGGTTAACAAAGAAGCTCAGAGATTGATTGCTCGTGAAAGGGAATATGATACTTTATTAAAAATTATTCAAATTTCAACTACCCCTGCTTCTTTTGATGACCAAATAGCTAAATTTAATTATACTGATTTGCGTGGTGGACGTAGTCAAGATGCTTTGCATAAAGTTAACAAAGAAACTCAGAAATTGATTCCTCGCGAAATGGAATATGATGCTTTATTAAAAAATATTCAAAATTCAACTACCCCTGCTTCTTTTGATGACCAAATAGCTAAATTTAATTATACTGATTTGCGTGGTGGACGTAGTCAAGATGCTTTGCATAAAGTTAACGAAGAAGCTCAGAAATTGATTGCTTGTGAAATGGAATATGATGCTTTATTAAAAAACATTCAAAATTCAACTACCCCTGCTTCTTATGATGACCAAATAGCTAAATTTAATTATATTGATTTGCGTGGTGGACGTTTTCAATATGATTTGCATCAAGCTCAGAGTAGTCGTAAAGTTCAATTGGTTAACGAAGAAGCTCAGAGATTGATGAACTCGGCTAAAGTTAAACTAAAAAGCAAAAGTATTTTTTCTGTTAAGAGAAAAGCAAGGAATAAAGATCGAGAATTGTCTTTTGTAACTTTTTTAGATATTCAAGAAAAGTTAGCAGAAGAAAATAATCAGCAAGTCAAAGATTCTCTTAATAAACAACTACAGAATATTAAGCAGGCTCTCTGCAAAAAACTAACTATAACAGAGTTAGTTAATCTCTGCAAGATTAAGAGTGAATTAACTCAATTGCGACTAGAACTAGAAAACTTACAAAACCAACAACAACAACAGGCCCAAATACTCCAAAAATAACCTAATGGCATATCGGAATCTAGTAAAAAATAAAGAACCAAACAAAAAACACAACCTCTCACAGCTCACTCTGCTCGCCTCCAATTCCCTCCCTCTGAAGCGTCGTCTCCTAGTTGCCTTTCGGGATCCTAATATCGCCACCTCTTCCCTTTTCCCCCGTTTCTCACTTTTTTTCAGTATCACAAAACCCAACTTCTTTAAAATGAAATCCGATGATTAAATCAAGCCAGTTTTAATAGATCATCTATAATCAATTAATTGCTTATAGTAACAATTGGTCAGCTTCAAAATATTAAAAAAGTTAACCGATAAGTTTTATTGTTCATGACTCAAATTTCAAAACTTATCGGTTAGTTTTTTCTTAAACTAAAAATTGACAAAGCCTTGGCATTTTGAAAACTCCAAATTTTGTTATACATGTAACATTTTTTTTCAATAAAAAAGTTTAACATATTACATCAATTCAACACGAAAATTATTATTGCAGTTCTCTCAAAATTTAAAAAATCCACGAAAAAAAAAGAGACATTTTTTTTACGTGAATTGGCTCCCTTTTTAAAAGCTGGATTGAATGTTGGTGGTGGTTTTTTAAAAATCCAACATGTGGATCACATGATATTTCAAAAATTTTAACTCGAGTATAGATGATCCGCACTGTGAAAATGGTTGACTTGAAAATTCCTTTCCTTTTTCCTTAAATATAGGGTAGATCCCCTATCAATATATAAGACAAAAGGCCTCAACGAAAAGAGTAAAGAGGAGGGAAGGTTTTAAAAATGGTGTTTTTTACTAGCAATTTGGTTAGAGAAAGTGAGTTTTATTAGGATTATATATAAAGATTAATTATTGCTGATGGAATGATTGGATAATAAACTAATTAATAATAAGGAAGACCAATGGAGAAAAGGATATTTGGTGGCTAATAATGGAGTTAGCCATAGTAAAATTATGCTTACTCACACAATCAAGCAGTCAACCCAATCTCTTCCCGTTGGGTTTAAACTTTCCTTATTGTAGATATAACAAAAACTAACCTCCAACCTCCAAAAAATAATCGAGGAAGGATATAAACAAGCCTGTTACTACTTTAAAATCATATTTCGTCGCAAAGGTAATTTTTAAAATCGAGAAATTACAAGTAAATAAAACATGTAGATCTTTTTATACATCACATATTACACATAAATCTGTTAACTATTAATTAATTCATAAAAATTTTGGTATTATTTATTATTTTGTCTAAACCTTTTTTTTTCGCTGCACGTCGTTGATTCATCACCATCATTGTTCTCTAATTAAAAAAACAATTGTATATATAATAAATATTACATCATTTTTTTTTAATCAAAATGTTCAATTCAAATTATATTAAATTGGAACAAGATGACAATGATACCATGCCTACTTTTGAAGAAGAAGAACCTTTCTTGCCACAAAATAATTACAATAGTAATATTAAAAATATTGATATTAATAATAAAAATTCCAAGCCTCTTTTTGAAAGACGTGCCCTTTCAGAAACAAGACAAACATTTATTAAATTTCCAACTCCTGCTTACAGAATGAGTAATAATAACAACAACAATAATAATAATAATCAAAATATGGATTTTAATAGATCAAGTATTAGTGATGACAATAATTATGAAGACAGTAATACTAGTAGTAGTCGCCAAAGTAATGCCTGGTCACAGTTTTCCAAGAAGTTCAAGTTGAAAGGAAAAGATAGAAGCGGAAAGGATAGGGGTGATCTAGAGGTTTATAAATCTGTTTTCATACCTATTCCAGACTTGCAAGGATATCGGGTTTGTATTATCAATATAATTATTATATTTTATCTAAAGAAACAATTCTTATTTAATCCTTAATTCTCTTGTTAGTCAAGTGGACCAATTCTTACACCAGATCATGAGCCACCTATGACTTTTGAAGATTTTATTGCAATTGTTGATTCGGTAAAAGCTGCAATAATATCTAATGTTCAACCGACCAGAATCAGGCAAGGTTCTTCTGGTTCGTATTTTTGTCGTAATAAAGATGGTAACGTGGTAGGTGTTTTTAAACCTAAAAACGAAGAACCGTATGGTCAGTTGAATCCTAAATGGACAAAATGGATCCATAGAAATCTATTCCCTTGTTTCTTTGGTAGAAGCTGGTATGCTTTTTTTCATTCATTCTATTTTATTTAATTTTTCATTACTATTAACAAGAATCGTTAATTATATATTTTATTACAAATAGTTTGATTCCTAACCTTGGTTATATTTCAGAAGCTGCTGCCTCACTACTTGATCGTCAACTACAATTAAACATTGTTCCAAGAACAGAAGTGGTATGGATTTCATCTCCTTCGTTCCACTACGACTACTTGGATCGTCGTGCTGCCCGTTCTAAAAACCATTATAAACCATTACCCGAAAAAATTGGTAGTTTTCAAATATTTTTAAGTGGTTATAAAGATGCCAATATATTTTTAAAGGAACATCCATGGCCTGAATTTGATGATTCGATTGGAAATAGCGGTAGAAAAGCTATGTTAGAAGGAGAAGATGATGATAACAATGATGGTGTTGGTGGTAGTGGTAGTGGCCATAATAATAATAATAATAACAGTAAATTGAATTCAATCATATGTGGAGGATATTCTTCACAAGATAACGGTGCTGATGATGAGTACTCGAATGAATCTTATCATTCTAAAAAAAGATTTTTTTGGACTAAATCACTTCAAATTCAATTCAGAGAACAATTTGAAAAATTAATAATTTTGGACTATTTAATGAGAAATACTGGTAATTAAACAATTCCTACTTTTGATTTGATTTGATTTGATTAATTTTTAAAAATAATTCACACATAAATGTTTCTTAAGATCGAGGATTAGATAATTGGATGGTCAAGTATTGTGATAAAGATGAAAATGATTGTATTATTACATCACCTCCAACAAAATCAATGGGTATGAATGTTCCAAAGAATTTATCAAAAGATAATTTATTACTAAATAAAAACAAATCTGGTTCAAAAACATCTTTATCTGAAAATGTTCAAACACCATCATCTTCTTCAGAGCTGCAAGCGCCACATAATTTAAATAATAGCATTAAATCAGATCCACTTCAACCATCATCATCAGGTCTATCAAAAATGATAAATGAGTCAAAACTATCATTACAAAAAAGTCAAATTAAAACAACAACAACTACAGCAAGCATTAATACCACATGTCACTCTTCTGATCATTCATCAAAAATTGTTTACCCACATATCCATGTAGCTGCCATTGACAATGGATTGGCATTCCCATTTAAACATCCTGATCAATGGCGTTCCTACCCGTATGGTTGGTCATTTCTTTCAGAGTCTCTTGTAGGGGCTCCCTTCACTGAAAACACTCGTAAACATTTTCTTTCACTACTGACTGATAGCAAATGGTGGAAGGATACAATAAGTGAATTACATCAATTTTTTTCTTTGGATGCTGATTTTGATGATGGGATGTTTTCTAAACAGGTAGCAGTACTAAAAGGTCAAGGTTACAATATTGTGGAAATACTCAAACAACCTGATAAAAGTCCTTTGGATCTTTGCGCATCTCAGAATCTAATGGTATGGGATATTATCGAGTCTATTGAAGTTCCAGAAGAACCTGATAATATGGAAGGTGACAATGACAACCACCAGTCAGATAATATCAAGATTGACAATGGTGGTAGAAATTCATTACAAAATGTTGATTATGGTGAGGCATCTGGTATGGGTGGATCAGTTGGAACCAAGTATCCAAATCTACCTCCAAGAAGGAGTGTTTCTGAATATAGTTCTCCACGACCTTCATTGTCTGTTAGTGCACCAGCTGCTTCAGTACTTTCTGGTGATTCTGCAAGAAAAAATACATGGGTTGACAGATTTAATCGTGTAAAAAATAAATTTGCTTTTGATACAATTGGAAAAAATAGAGATACTGAAGAAAAAAGAACAAAACTTGTTGTCATTGAAAAGATAGAGCCGGTAAAAGGAGGAACACCATTTTTTAAATGTTGTTAGTTATATTCTTGATTATTAATTAACAAAAAACAATTATATATATAATTAATTTCCTTGCATTAATTATAGTTTTAAAACAAAAAAAAAGTATTTTTTATTCTTGTATTATAAATTTTAAATTTTTCTTTTTTTCTTTCCAACATAATCGTTTGGATAGCTTATTTTGTACAATTTTTTGAAGATCAAATAATTTTTATCAAAAAATTTTTTATTGCAATTATCAAAAATACAAAAATAAAATAAAAAATTACAAAATTACAAAATTATAAAATTATGAATAGGTTTAAAAGTTGTCGGTTATTTTCCACAGTTAATCTTTTAAAAAATAACAATTTTATTCATCAACCATTAAAGCGTCAACTAGTAGTGCTAACATCAACAAATTCAAGAAATATCATCATTAAACATAACGCAAAAAAATTTGACACATTATCAACGACAAAAATAACAAAAACAACAGCTAATCCATTTGGATTTTATTTATCATCTTCTTTTTTGAGGTCTTATTCTGATGCAGCAGCACTGACCCGAGAAAATATTGAGGCTAGGATTCTTGATATTTTGAAAGCATTTGATAAAGTTGATCCTTCAAAGGTATGTAGTAGTGGTAGCAGTAATAGAAAGGATTATGTGATAAGTGAGAAATATAAATGGCAATTTTTTATTTTTTTTGGAGGGATTCTTATTTCATGAAAGAAAATTGATTTAATAATGATTATTATTAATTATTATTCAATCATTTCAATCGTTATATTATATTAAATAAGGTAACCACTCAGGCACATTTTGCTGACGATCTTGGACTTGATAGTTTGGATACTGTTGAAGTGGTGATGAATATCGAAGAAGATTTTTCAATTGAAATTCCTGATAAAGAAGCTGATGAAATTAGATCAGTTAAAGATGCTGTTGATTATATTTTTAAAAGGGATGATGCACATTAAACAATATTATTAATAAACAAATTAAACAGATATATTTTTATATTGACAGTTTTTTCTTCTTCTAAATAATAAATTATTTTATTATTTAGTTGAAAATTATTAATTTTTTTTTAATTTTTCTTTTTTTTCTTTTTGTAATAATATTATCAATAAAGAAAAAACGTGCACTGCGGAATTTATGGTGTAACGTGATATTTTAATTATCTATCACAGAAAATTTTTTTTAAAACAGAGTCAAACCTCATCACAGCGGATCCATGGTTCCAGCCAAAAAAATCCGTTATGACAAGAATCTGTTGTGGCAAAATTGGCAAAAAAATACTTTTTAATAATAATAATAAATCAATAAACTAAATACAGAAATAAATGAACAAATGAATAATACGTGCGGAAATTGTTGTAATGTTTGGTTGTATTAGTTTTTCATTATCTAATAATTTTCACTTTTCTTTTCAATGATTTAAATTCTTTATAATCTAATTGACTTTATTATGAATCTTTGGAAAAATGATCTTGTTTGTTTAAATCTATCAATTGTTTTATTTTAGTAACTTGGAAAATTTTATTTACTCGCAAACATTTGGATAATTGTTTGTTTACTGATTTATTTTATAAACTTGGAAAAGGTTGTTATTCGCAAACATTTGGACAACTATCAATTGTTTGTTTATTGATTTATTGATTTATTTTAAAAACTTGGAAAAAGTTGTTACTCGCAAACATTTGGACAAACAACCTATCAATTGTTTGTTTATTGATTTATTTTAGAAACTTGGAAAAAGTTGTTACTCGCAAACATTTGGACAAATAATCTATTGTATTGGTTCATTTTAGAAAATTTGTTACTCGTAAATCTTTGGATAAAATTGTTTGTTTTATCGCTTTATTTTAATACTGACCTTATTATTTATTTTATCAATTTGGTAATTTGGATAAATGAAGTCCATGATAATATATTAGATAGACTGTATAACAAAAAACCAATTCTATGTATTAAAACATTCGAATGAAATATTATACTAAAATTTTACTTGTTATAAAACGTTTATTTATTCCTTTTTTATTTTTTATTATACAAATTGACCAATAAAATTTGATTTTTGTGTGATAAATATGTGATGATCAACAGCCAATGAAATCAAATGTCCATTATGTAATTTTTTTTTAATTAATTCATAAAAAAAAAACTGATTACAGTCAACCCCTAAATACTCATCCATAAATGCACACCCTCTCTAAATGCACGCTTTCACTCATTCCCAACTATATAAAACCACCCTCCCTAAATGCACTCCCGTGACTTTCACGTGATTTTATGCATCGTTAATCGTGTAACCTTAGAAAATTTTACAAACTTGGTTTGCTTAATTCCCAAAATCTCTATTTTTAATCATGTCTTGACTCAATTACTTATATGCTTTTCATATGACTTAATTAATTGCATCAAAAAGTCACCCAATTGAGTCAAGTGTAAGCATGTTGGCTCTCTTAATAATGGTGAAATAGTTTTTCATAAATGCTGAAATTAATTTTATTAGTTGCCAAAATTATATCTGAAATTATTTGGACTCTTTAATTAAATACTAAAAGGCTGGGTAGATTTTGTATGTCTATTGATACAAAGAATATTGTAAATCCAAAATTGCTTGCCAAAATTGATTTTTTCAAAAACCATTTTGGCTAACATTCTTATCAACCTATTTCTACCATAGTTAACAAGTTTGGAAATTGTCCATACAATGAACAAGCAAAATCAGTTAATTCTCTTGAAAAATATATTAACTTAAAAAAAATAAATACAATGGAACAAATTACAATAGATAGATTCATGTTTTGAATTTTTTTAAATTTTAATTAGTGTCACATGAGTCACCAATATGTGCAGCCAATAAAATGCTTTAATTCCCTAAATGCACGCTCCCACTCATTCCCAAGGGGGGTGCACTTAGGGGGTTGACTTGTAAATTATCACATGATTCCCCCACCCTTAAGCATTTGGAAGGTAGGAAGGATAATACAGAATTTTGCCTTAATTATTTGTTATTTCCCTAGAAAAATTGCATTAACAGTGTAATTAAATAAATACTGCAATGCATATAATTGTAAATTATACAATCCAAGGGCTTCTTTCTCATATTAATTAAGATGTTAACATTATTTTTTCTGCCTTTTAAACATGCATTCAATAAGGCTTACTAAAAGTGAAATTAAGCAACCTTGTTTTACAATCAAATCATCAAAAATTTCATAATATCAACTGTTGATTTAAGAATATGTGATAATTATTTGATAAAATACAAAAGATTTTAACATTATCCTGGCCATCATTTCCAACTTTAATTTCTACATCATGATAACCTAAATACAGTTTTTATTGGTCTTATAGATCCTTTAATTCCTCCAATTACATATCAGATGAGGTTCTTATTCCAGGACTCCTATATTAACTGGCAAATTTAAATTTAAAACAATTGATTATAATTTAAATAAAACAATATTCCGAAAGCCCTGCTATACAAATGCCTTCAATTTAACAGTATCTGATTATTAAATATGGACCATTTGAATCTTTTGACATCAAAAATGTTCATTGTTTGGTTTTGTACCATATATAATTATTTTTATTTTTACAAATACAATAAATTATGAAAAAAAATATTAATTAATTTACCAGAATAGATTATTAGAAATTAGTAGTAGAACTAGTTAATGGTTTAATATGATCTTGCCAATATTTTGGTACACCAATACAATTAGGTGCAGATCTAATTACATCAAAGTATGCTACCAAAACAAAAAATGTTATTAATAAGAAAAAAAAACTTTGAAATACATCACTCCTCCAGTTAGGTAATATAATTAATTAATTACCTGTATAAATGTCACCATCATATCTTCCTAATGGAGCTTTAATAATAAAATCAGGCAGTCCCCAAGCATCAACAAGTGGTATAACCTGTTCTCTTAACTGCTTGCACAAATCTAAATAAGCCCTTCTTACCAAATCAACTTGTTCTCTGGTGAAATACCCTTCTTCCAAATATAATTCCAATGAGTCATGAATCACATGTATAAACCATAATCGACCTAAATCTGTCAAGATTGGCAATAAGTTTTTGTATTCCATAGTGGTGCTCTGGCTGTAGATTTCCAGACCTCTAATATATTCTGACATCATATATTGATGTGTATAGATTTCCCCCAATTTCACCAAATATACTTGGTTCTCATTCCATCTGTTTGAATCTTTTGTTATATTTTTTACACTTGCTAGGAATTTTATCTACAAATAATATACATTTGGGTAAATATATGTGAATATGAAAATATATACAAATACACAAATATAAATAATTTTACCCTTTTAACAACAAGCCAAGTATACATTTCTAAACTATAATCCAAATCTAATAATTGTTCTAGACTTGTTAAATTACTCTTTGAAGCTTCAATATATTTATTATAATTATTCAAATATTTAACAGATCCATGGACTTTCTTTCCCTCAAAAACATCTTTTATAGCTTCCAACAAATACTTCTAAATAAATAAAATTATTTGTACTTTTTGTATATATATTTCTTTTAAAATAAACAAACATCAATCAATTCATACCGCTGTTTGTTGTATAAGTACATAATTATCTCCACCACCTATTACAAATTAATTAATCATTTATTTGAATTAATTTTAATCCCAAAATTATTATTAATTATTTTACCAGTTGTAAGAACACCAAAATCATCAATAGCACCACCAATAGCATTATATGATGAATAAGCATGTCCACCTAATGAACGTCTACATCTTTCTAAAACTTCACATCCCCACCATGTTGATGTTACTTTAATTCCTGATGATATTACATGGATATCGCCAATATTTCTAAGAAACTCTTGTTGATTTGTTTGTGTATAACTTAAAATTTCCTCCCATCTATTACTAACAAGTCTTTTATTTTTTATAAATTAAATAAACTAAACATTATAATAAATTTATAATATTAAATATTAAGATAGAATTTGTATATAATCTTACTTATTAACAACGTTGAAAACATAAACACTTGCAACACAAGGCATCAATCTAACATAATGTGTTTGATAATCCATGATTTTTTCCTTATTTGGGCCTTGTCTTCTAACACATCCATATCTACAAGCAACAGTTAATGCTTGTGAGAGAAAATTCTTCACAGCTGGTAAACATGCCAATCTTTCACAAATAAGTGTTGCATAAAATATAGCAGGATTAGGCGAGGGTGTGAATTTACCATCTCTTGTAACTTTTGACCATTTCATCAACATATTTTCACGTGGAATACGAACACAAGAAAATTGTATCCATCCATTATCCAATCCATTACGTCCAGATTTTGCTCCTAAATCTCCAGCAGTAACACCTGGTAATAGTTTTGCTGTTTCATGATCACGTAATGGTACAATAAACCAATTTAAACCACAATCTTTTCCATTGACAATAGTTTGGCAAAGTACAGATGAGTGTGTTGCAGTCTGACCAGCCATTCCAATCCACCATTTGGTTGACATTAATGTTGGTGAATGAATTATAAACTCATCTGTTGCTTGATTGTATGTTGCAGTTGTTTCTAACCCACGAATAAAAGAGCTATTTTAATAAAAATTAATTAAAAAAATTTGAATTTAAACTTTATATAAATATTACAGTGATACTTTATCAATTGATCTTACCTGTAACCCAGTTCGGTCTGTATTTTTTAAAGAAAAAATAATTGTAAATGTTGAAATTTAGAGATTTATTTATTCATAAGAAAAACAGATAATTTACCATTGCAAAACAACCAATAATACGCCAATTTTTAACATCATCTGTCCATTTATCATATTGTTCTGGTGTACCAAATATTTTAAATGTCTGATAAAATAAAACATCGTTAACATATACTTTCATTTTATAACTTGCAGAATACATGCTGATAATAATAATATGAAAATTAATTAATTTATTATAGTTTAACAAAATTTTTCATAATTGATTAGAAATTAATTTTTACTATAAAGCATTCTTTAAAGCTTCCAATAACAATGGATCATTTAATGATTTTTCCAATTCTTTGAAACGTCGAATTTGTCGTGCAACGCTTGATAAAAAAATGAATCAAATTATTTTTCTTATTTTTTTGCCTCGATTTTTATTTTCCTCTAAATAAAAAAATATAAAACTTACTGTTCGCGCTCTTCTGGTCTAGTTAAATCAAAATCGTGACCAGCAGTCATATATAAATCTGGATCACGTTGAATTATTTGATACGCTAAATCCTATAGAAGTGGAAAGTCGTAATTAATACCAACATTATAATTGCATGTTTATATTTGTACTCGTACCAAGGCATCAGAATATTCCTTTCCACCTTCAAACAACCAATGTAATTGTTTAACATCAAATTTTGCATTAGCACGTTCATTTGCTAAGTCAATAGAGCCAGTTGGTTGTTTTAAATGGTTCTGTATTGTAACAAGTCGATCTAATGCAGACATTGTGGAAATAACGTAGCGAATTTAATAAATAGATTACCTTTTTTAGGTAGATCAATATCGGTTTTTTTTTATTTTTTATGATACATAATTTTTGACAATGAAGATACATGTTACACAAAAAAGAAACTGCCCCCTAGTAAACTAATAAGTTCACCTTTCACCGTTACCTACTAAATCAGGCCCAGTAAAGGTATTAAGATTTAACATCTGAAATTCAAACGTAGATATAGGTGGATCAATATTGTTAATCATTTTTGTTATCTACAAGTTTTTTTTTATCAAATTGGAAAAAATGGTCTCTAAGTAATGGTATTTTCAAGTTTATAACAAATCTGATATTATTATTAATATGATGATAAAAATAGTTAAACAATGATATTCAATTTTTGGTGAAGAAATACCTTTAATTGAGCCCTACGATTATGTTGAACTTGGCAAAATTATAGAACTTCCAAAATTATCAAATCACGAAGAAAATGGAAACGTAGCTACAGCTCTTTGTTACCCTTGACAAAGAGTCAGGATGCGGGTGCTGGTGTTCTTGCGACAGAAAAAGTTAAAAGTTTTGATCAAGAAGATGAATTAGATTCAATGCATGAATATCAATTTACAGAAACATGAAGATTTCCAAGAGCAAATGAAAAATCAATTATCTCTGTTTGATTGCATTGTTAGTTTACTTTCCTCTGCTGAATGTACTGTCACGTGTCAATTTCCAATTTGCAATTCCTTTGGTAATGCCTAAATTAAATTAATATAAAGTTGGATTTTTTTTTTTTCAATTACAGTGCTATATTTCTAATAGGGAGTGGTGAGCGACATACAAATATTTTTTTAAAGAGATAATATGATAAAAAATAAACAAAATAAAAAATTTAAATGAAATCAATAATGGTGAAATCAAATTTTCAACCTTATCAACCTTACAACTATTTATCCTTTATTATTATTATTAATTAATATTTCAGATAACAGAATTAATATCAAGATCACTTAATAAATTATCACTATTGTTTAAATTAGGTATTTCATAATTTAATATTCTATGCTTGTTGTAAATTACTATTTACTATTACTACTACTATTACTACTACTATTATTATCACCATCATCACCACCAATATCTTCATCAGTTCCTTTAATTTATCATCGGCAAATTCCCAAAGCTCTTTAATAGTTAGTCTTTTTAATAGATCCACATCCCGACATCTTTGCATCATTAGTGCATAATCATCAGGTGTTCCTGGTAATATTGGTGGTCGTAAACCTCCGCATATATACATCTATAATTAAGCAATGATTATGAGCTCTATTATCAAATGGTGGGTTGCCTGCAAATAATTCCCGCATTAACATACCAACACTATAGATATCTGATTCTTTGTTTCTTGGTTCCTTTAAATAGCTCCGGTGCAATACATGATACAATTCCATAGGTTTATTTGATAGTTTTTCATCAACTGGTCCACATAATCTTCAGATAATGCATTACATAAATGTCTAAAATTCGAATTCTGTCGTTTGATGTCAAGTTATTTTGTAAATAATCTTTTAAATTTCCCACTGGATGATAATTAAAAACTATTTCATAATTTCTGTTTTCTGGGAATTAATTATATGGGGCATGCTGCAACCAAACCAGACAAAGTGAGCATTGGTATTTCAGTGTTCAAATTTTTTTAAAAACATAATCATGATATATAGAAGATACAATTAATTTTTATTAGATTTTTTGGAAAATTCATGATTTTATCAAAAACTATTCCTATTCAAACAAAGCCACTCCTTAACCGGTGTAAAATTTTTAGACGTTTCCATACATGACTTGGTGTAATCATGAAAGACATTCTGATTGGATTCAAATATAGCCTGCGTGCAGAAATTAGTGATGTTAGCCGTTTAAAAATCCTTAGCCGGCTAAGCCGTTTACTACCTAAATTGGTAATTTGATTTCTATAACAAGAAAGTAACGCAGAAATCTATTACCAAATTTTGAAATTATGCATGCAGATTATTAACCGGCTAACATCACTAGCAGAAATGTTAGTGTAATTCTAACCAATTAAAGAAAGAATTGTCTGTATAAAGATAAAATTTATTACCTTAATAGTGAAAAGGAGGACAATGATGTCAACAATATTAGGGAAGGTTGTGTGTTCCAAAGGGTAATTGACTTTTAGTATTTTTTCAGCAACAAATGCTTTAGGAGCACCCAAGTTCAATCTATACAGTTCACCTTCATTCTCTGCATGAATTTCGAACAAGACTTTTTCGTCAATAGGACATAGCTTTTCAAATAACAAAAAATGGTAATTAAAACTCACAGTATAACACATATGATAATACATAGTATTTCTTTGCTAATTCCATGTCTCCATTTCCATTCCAAAAAGTTTTACATATTGCATCCACAGAATTTCGAAAGCACTTTAGAAGATCTGCACAATACTTGGGTTCCTTTGTCTTTGATGGTGTGCCAACTAGAGATGGGAACTGCAATTAGCCGCAATTCAATTTCATATGCCGCAACCACAACCACAATTCAATTTTTATATGCTGCAATTAGTTGCAACTAATTGAGGAACCATCTTTAGTGCCAACATTCTCAAAGAGTAAGAATTCTTGGTCAACATTATCATAATTAAAAAGGATGCCATCTGCCTTACGTGCATAACCAACACCATAGATCAATTTGGGGCGCCATTTAGACAAAGGAACTTTGTTTTCATTCCTGTTGAAGAGGATATAGTTAGACTAGCAATCAGTATGAAATTATATATTTGTCCTTGTTTGACTTACCATCTGCTAATAAACAGAGCTGGAAAACATAACTTCAAAGTCTCAAAATCAGGAGACACGATTGTAGCTGTGTATGTGTTTTCATCCATCGACAAGTCAAGTTTTTCTCCATGTCCAGCTTGTAACTGCATAAGTTTCATTTCTAATATTTGCTTTACAAAGTCGAATTGTTCTGTGTCAAAGCCTTCAATCATTGTTGTTGATCGTAGATTTGATAACATGGTATTGACTTTGCACTAAATTTGAAGCTACCATATCAGTAAACTAAATGGATAAATCAAGTATAGATACAATTACATTTATTTTCTTACTGTATAGTTTTTTTTAATCCATTTTTTAAGCTCATCAACATTAATGTGAGGTATAGACTGAGATTGAGCAGTTGCTTTTAGCTTGTTGAAAAGTTTTTTATTTATCAATGAATTAGCAGCACTTATATTGATGATGTCTAAATCAGCCAGTCTGTTTAATATAGTAATTTTGTATGTGAAAATGATTATTTATCATCATCAATAGAAATTATTATAGTACCTTTGTTCAAATTCTTCATTATCCAACTCTATTTCTTCATTGTCCATTTGACTTGCCAATATATCTTCAATCGTAAAATTCTCCAACTCTTTTTCATCCTCATCTTTCTTATAGTATGGTTTCTTTGAGCTATTATCTGTAACAATATCCGTGGTCGTTCCTCTAAAGAAATAAAAGATCAAAATTTTAATTAGTTAAAATTTAACTAGAGTGACAAATGGTAGCAATAACCACCACCACCATTCTTATGATAAAGAATTCATCTATTATTTTTCTTTGATTAAATTTTCTTTTCGACATTTTTGTTTTTATAAAAAAAAATTGAGAAAGAAGTTTGTTGTTTGATCGACGTGTACACATTAATTATTTATCCTATTGGTTTTTTTTTTGGTAGGACAGACATGAATTGATATTATTTTTTTTTTTGGAAAAACAATTTATTTTTTGACAGAGTCCAAGGTGACAAAACGTGAGTGTTGTGTTAATAACTAACCAGAGGTACTATTTTTTATTTGTATTGGGGTCTGATTCATTTTGTCAACAATCATTTCATTGACAATCATTTTGTCAAAAGTTTGTTTCATTGAAAGTTTATTTTGTCAAAAGTTCATTTCGTCGACAATCACTTCATTGACAATTATTTCATTGACAATCATTTCATTGACAATCATTTTGTTGAAAGTTTATTTTGTCAACAGTTTATTTTGTCAATAGTTTATTTCATCGACAGTCCATTTCTACAACAATTCATGTTAATTTGCATGTATTACAGTGTCACCAATTATGTTTGGAAAAGTGTGAATTAATTGATTTATTATGTTTATGTGGAATAGGTTTACTAACATATTAATTTAATTAGTGGATAACTTTGGTTTTAAATGTTTATT